TGTTAGAGTTTTACTCGCTACAGGGTGTACTTTGAGGGTTTTGACTCTGCACACCGTTTACATGCATAAAAACCTTCATAACACACAAGGGGACGGGTAATAACCGGAAAAGCATGACACCATCTCCTTTAATACTTTTCGCCTCATTCTGAAGAAAGAAGTGAAATGTGCCAACGTGACGGTCGTCTTGGTGGGGTGGTGCGAGACAGGAGATGTAGTTCATTGAGCGGTTTCACACAAAAAAAAGTGTTACTTCAACAGTTTAACGACACATTTTGAATTTTTTTGACTTGCAAAATTATCTTTTAAATTGACAAACATCATATGTGTAATTCGTGGCACAATTCAAACGGAATCGAAAGATAATCTTTCTCTCCCCATTGACTTCAATACATACTTTTTCCGAAATAAGGTCCCATGGAGGTCCCCCGAAAGGGAGGGGACTTCGCCTCTCTATGGAAGAACCTAGTAATTAATGTATGGAATGGAGAAAATTATCTTTTAGAATAAATAACCAGGTTCATATTTTGATGAAAGATGGAAAATTGGTTATTGTATAGAACACAAAACATTTATAACGAACATGAGGTAAGAACTTACAACTAATGTAAACCTGAGTATTAATAATGTATCCATTGTGTTTTTTCAGTTATGAATGTATTATTATTTTAGTTGTTCCTGATTTGTCGATAGCTATGTAGATAATTGATGTATCTAGCTGTGTTATTGGGTTAGTATGTTTTTTAAAGGGGACCTATCAAGCAAATTGCACTTTTGTACGTCTTTTATACATGAATATGTGTCCCCGTGTTCCAGGGAACTCACCAGTGTCAGAAAACACAACCCTCTCTCTATTTTCCTCCATACCCAAATCTCTAAAAAAGGGGCTGCAACGGATCTGATAAAAACTGATCCAGATTTGAACACTGTCCTGACGTCAGGACGGTGGAGCTACGGCTATTGGGCCAACTCCACCAATCAGGAGGAGACAACCACGGCCATTGCCGTTCGAAAGCGCTGGAGACGCTGTAGTACATATGCCAGGCCTGTAGGTGGTGCTGTTCTCACAGAATCAGCCCTCGCAAAAACAGGGCTAAAAAAGTGCAAATTGAGCTAAATGAGGCATGGCTAAAATGCATGATCTGTTTGGTATTTTGAAAAAAAAAAAAGTATAAATATGCCTTATATAGGTATGGTCCTACACTATATTATTAAAAATAGCATGATAGGTCCACTTTAAATAATTTCTTAAAATGCACCAAAAAAAAGACAGACAGAAAGTATGAACCCTCAGTCCTCGGGGAAATGTCTCCCTGCTCAAGACTGGCTTTCCACTAAAAAACACATTTTTCATTTACAAGTTCGCTCAGCACCAAACAGCTGACAAACAAAGTTAGAGACTTAGCCGTTGAGGAAAGCCAAACATCGACACGTTAAAGCAGGGGTGGGGAACCTTTTTCCTCTCAAGGGCCATTTCAATTTTTTCAACATCCTCCGCGGGCCGTACAAATTATTGACCTCTGCTTAAAAAAACTAAAATCACAGCTCATTCATTTCGCCTTTCTTTCATGCTGTGCAAAGAAAAAGCAACCTCTTAATCCAGATATTTTACCATGACTCGCGCATGCATGCACGTGCACGGTGTGGCATGACCACCAAAACAGAAAGATATGGACACAAGATGTGTGCAAATGTATTTAGTTTCCTATCCATGTGGACATGATTTAAGTGGGGGGGGGACCTAACCTCCTCTAGGGGGGTCCGCATGCTCCCCCGGGAAGATGTGTTTTTAAAAGTTGAAGTTAAAAGCATCAATCTGGTGCACTTTGAGAGCAACATTAAGAGATCTATGGATACATCTCTCACAACACACATATGAAACAACTGTAAGCAGATTTTATTTTTCTTCATGGATATTTTACAAATCACTCCCCTTTCAAACTGTATTCTTGTTTATTAATAACAACTTTTTTTTACTCTCATATAGTATTTTATTAGTTTACTTTATTCTCTTTTTTTTATAACTATAATGATCATATAAAGATGTGCCTCTACCTCAATGGTTTGTAGAAAAAGCTTCTTATATTCGTTAGCATAGCTAGCTAACCAGATGCTAATAACAACAAAGTTATTGACTGTATGATCAGAATGACAGATGAACAGATCGCCACTGGGCTTACAACTAAGACACAGCCACGCAAAAACTGCGGCATGTGTACAGCTCCTTATGGGTACTGCAATTTTTGGAAGTGGCGGAGCGGCGTTCTGGTGCTCTCCGTCAGAACTGCATCCCAGGGTGTTTCTCAATCGCGAGTACGCTTGCTTGGTAGCACATGTCTGCCGAGCATCTTGCTTCAGAAGCGAGGCAAGAATACTACCTGGCATTCGGAAAGCAAAGAGTGGAACAGGCTAGCAAGTGTGCAGGTGTGCGTCATATGAGAGGCCCCGCCTTACATCTTCCGCCACAGATTTGGGGAAATTGGTCCGTGCGCAAAGCATTGTGGGGATTTTAAGACCGCGGAGTCTACTCATGTGCTGCCTCGATATTTCTCCAAACGGAGTACGCCGGGCTCGGTAGATTTCCAAGTATGCTGGAGATTAGAACAGTACTTCGGCGGCACTCGATGACGTAGTATGCTTGAAATAGTGGCTCTGAAGCAGCTTTACTCGCGATTGAGAAACACCCCCTGTCAGACCAGACATATACCACGTGATGACACGTTAGGCTTGTGTTGTGTTCAAGGACCCTGACCTTGGCCAGGAAAAACAGGCACTCGCTTGTTTAATTTTTTTGCGGTCTAGATTTCTTAATTTTTTTTCTTTTTTGCGTGTGTTTATAAATTACCTCGAGGGCCGTACCAAATGGTCTCGCGGGCCGTATACGTTCCCCACCCCTGCGTTAAAGTATAATCATTCTGAATTTAAAACAATGTTAGGGATTTGTGTTTTTTATTGTGTTTTGGAGATTGTATGCCCCCTACTGGCCTAAAGTCTATAAGGGAAGCTTTAAAGACTCATATTTGTATGTATATACAGATCCTCATGTAAAGGTTGTTATGTTTCATAATTATTGATAAAACCCAGCAGCCCGACATGAAATCTGTTCTCGTTATATAAAATAGTTTTTCTTAAATGGTGGTTACTTCTTTTAGAATTTCTGTTAAATGGCGTGTGCTTCTTTGTGTTTTCTTTGTCTTGTAACATCCTGGGACCATGTTAGCCTTTTCATTCAACATATATCTTTTGGATTTTTGTTTCTGTGTTAGTATCATAGACTGTATATATAAAGGTTAGTATCTACAAATTCCATTAAAAAAAATCAGACTCAATGAACTTAATTTTTTGCTATGAAACCAAAGCCTGTGTAAAGACTTATAAAGTATCCTTTTTATACACGTTTAGAGCTAAAACGCCGTTTTACTTTGAAAATCCTCACCGGACGTGTCTTGTTCTATTGATTTCTTGACGCTGGTTTGAGTCCAGTCCAGCTCGCCTGCATTCCTCCTCTTTCTAAAGCCTGACCGATAGAGACAGAGAAAGAAAGGGGGGAGAAAACACCGATTATTATTCTCAACCGTGTTAGATTTTCTGGAACCACGGAGTCGACACACACTGGACACACCGACCAGACCGGGCCACGCAAAATACCCACAGCAAGCCTGCTCCGTTTGGACCTAGCTTAACGACGAAAAGGCGTGTTTTTATTGAATAATGACCCGCTAATGTGCCTGTGTAGGTCAGCTAGCGAAAAGCAGCTTTGGTGAAACAGCCTCTCCACGGCGGATATCTCCTCTTTTTTTTTTATGAGGATTTGCAAGATGGCTGATGACAGCTACCCCTAACAAGGACAGAAACGCGACGGCCCTTTAAAATTAGGAGGGTATATTTTTGTATTTTCTATTAGTTAATATATCAAATAGGGCTGCTTTAAAAAAAATAATGACCATAGCTTATATCAACCTTGTATCTTTGTTGCTAGTGTTTATCTGTACCTGTGCTATGGTGAGGTGACGTCTGAGGCAATTTACACGATTTAATCCAGATAAGGAAGTAGGAAAATTATGTTGTTGGCTAAAGGCTGAGATTGGTGAATCAGGTGAGAGCAACGTGAACAGATAAAATAATAATATAGATCTCGGTGTGAGGAGATTTGTGATAGATGTGTCGGAGGGGGGAACCAAAAAGGCTTCTGCAACAGCAGCCCAACATTCCTGCGGATCCTTAAAACCCTTTGTTTTGTGCGCAGGAGCTGGACTCGACTATTAAAACGATTAACTATGCAGTAAACAGGCTCGAAATGATGGCCCGGGTATGATTTTCAGTTTAATGAGATTATAAGGCCTTTGTTGTCGACAGAAACCTGGTAGAAAAAAGCCGAGGCCTTGTGTACAGATATGCGAGCGGTGCCACATAGCAGGCGGTGTTCATCAAATAGAAATGTCGCTTTTATGTTAAATTGAAGGGCTGGAGGTATAGCTGTGTTGTCCATCTGACTTTGCGAAACATTATTTATTTCTACTGCCAAACCGTTGCTGGGTGTATGTATTATAATTAAGTTGCAGGTGGAGGCTCCTTTGGATACTTATTTATGATTCAGCGGACAAAAGCATTGCGCTGCGTTGTGATTATTGACGGATTCAAGCGTCCTTGAGGTTTAGATAAAAACAGATTCAGGTTTTTTTTAAAGCCCTTTTTTGTGTGGTTAGTAATCAGGGTGTGGACTGGACTGTAGCAGTCCCTTTCCGTGGTTTTCATGCTTCGATTGTTGGTCTGAATTGGTCCACAGTCAATCATAATCCGACGTTAACGTAAAGGGAGCTCAAGGTAAGGGCCTGAGCAGGCAGCAGAAAAAAAGGATCAAGTGTCTTTTCATGTGCTACATAGAGATTGATTCAACCTCATGATCATATGAGTAGTTGTGATGTTTAATAATTAGATATTTAGTGCTCTGTGCCTTGTTTGCTTTTTTACCTTACGGAAAGGCTTGTAGCTAATGTAGCTTCTTCCTGTAGGCCTATAAACACACTCAGAAGCTGTAAAGGCAGGCCTCTATGTGTGTGTGTGTGATTTAGAGGAAAGGAAAGCACCGTTTACTGTAATCTGTGTAACGTCAGCCCCTGCTGTGTGTGTTGAAATCACCAAGGTGTTGTCATCCTTTGCCTGAAGCCTTCTCTGGTCAATTATTCTGGAATTTGCCTTCATGCTGCAGCAATAAGCAATACTCGTCACCTGTCAGGGAGTTTAATTTGGTCACAAGGGTTGAAATATACAGACTGATTTCAGGACGGCATATTTTTGTATCCTAATTTTTTCTCAAGTCTGTTTTTTTAGAGGTTTTTCTGCGAGGACAGAAAGGCCTAGAGGTCTTGTACAAGTGGGAACATATAGTGTATGCCTGTCCGCACCATGATGTCCTCTGACATGGCTGAGACGTGGAGGAACTGTTTTGAGGAGGAGCTCATCTGCCCCATCTGCCTGCACGTGTTCTCAGATCCCATCCAGCTGCCCTGCAAGCACAACTTCTGCCGGGGCTGCATCAGCGAGGCCTGGGCCAAAGACTCCACGCTGGCCCGCTGCCCCGAGTGCAATCATGCTTACACTCAGAAGCCCAGCCTGGAGAAGAACCACAAACTGTCCAACATAGTGGAGAAGTACAACGCCCTGAGCGTGGAGAAGGCCGCCACGCCTGCGCTGCAGTGCATCCTGTGTCGTCGAGGCCCGCCACTCCCCGCAGTGAAGGTGTGCCTGCGCTGCAATGCCCCCTGCTGCCAGTCCCACGTCCAGACTCACCTGCAGCAGCCGTGCTCAGCCCTCGGGCACCTGCTGGTGGAGGCGGAGGCGGTGAAGGCCTGGACCTGCCTGCAGCATGACGAGTACAGACTGTACCACTGCGAGGCCGAGCAGACGGCCGTGTGCCAGTACTGCTGCTTCGCCCGCTGCCACCCCAGCCACGGCCACGCCGTCACTGACGTGGAGCTGCGACGCAACGACATCAGAGTAAGACACATATTTATATCATACACATACCTTAAACAAAAACAAACCTTAGGGCTGCTAAGTATTGGAGAAAGAAACCGACATTGTCATTTCTTTTCTTCGGTGCTATATATCGCAATATACGAAACAATAAAGGATTTGTCACCAAATGGTGACATTGAACCAGTTTTTGGTCAACACCGTCCTTCTATAGACATAACAACTGAATTTGCAACCAACTTTTCTGTGTTTTTCTCTTGTTCCTCGTTCATTTTCAGGTTGTTAACGACGGCTAGCAGGTTTCATAGGTTGATCAACAATGATGGTGATCATTGGAGCTCTGTTGTCCAATTTCTACCAACAAAGTCTGTGTATCCAACGACCACTAGAATCGGAATAAATGATGTCATATCAGACAGTATTCATGCGGGAAAAAACAGGCCAGTTTTAGTTTCGGTCATCAGAAAAAACATTATGTGTTTTATTTGCCGACACTGCACGCATTGGGTTTAATGTGTATGGGCTCGTCACAATGTCGATGCTGAACAGATGTATCGTGCAGCCCTAACATACTTGTTTGTTCACCTCAGGATGATGTCACACTGACATTTTGACCGAAACAAAACTTCAGCTCGTGGTTTGACATCATCACTTGCTCGTCTCGTAAGCGGATGTCAGACAGTGAAAATATTGATCCTTAGTTAATTAGTCAAAATCAAATGAAGACTAACAGTTGATTCTGTTTTGATTGAAGTGTATGCTAAAATGGAAACTAAACCATTAGTTCCATCTTCTATCTATCAATTCTGATAGTATCCCGGATGTCTTCTGTTGGTCAAACAACATTTTATGAATTTAAAATATCAAATAATCTGCTGATTGTTTTTTGAAAATAGTGAAATGTTCATCCCAGTTTCCCAAAGTCCAAGGTGAATTCCTAAACGGGTCTTGTTGTGTAAGCCCTAAACCCAAAGATATTTAATTTGATATGGTACAAAACAGAGAAACAATTAAAATATCCATATTTGAGACACTGAAAACAGTATTTCCAGCAATGTTTTAAAGAAATATGACTAACAATTTATCAATCATCAAAATAATAAGCCTTTCCTTTTTCTGTTTATCAGCAGATTGATGGGTGAGCTTATCGTTGCAGCTCTAGTTTTACGCTCTGTTCGCAAGAAGAGAACCGTTCGTAGCAAGAGCTATCATTTCTTCGGTGATCAATAAGGGCCTGCTAGCATCCTTACATTTTGCTTTAACCAAACCAGTGAGGCCATTTTTAATTCACCAGATCAAAGAGCATATTTTTATGTCATTTTTAGCCAAATAAAAAACACAAAGTGCTGTTTTCTGGGTACAGAGTTCTCAATTGTTCATGTTTTTACCAAATCACTTGACTCAATCAAAAACAGAACTTCACATTTTAGGACACAATTGCATTTTGAGTGTTTTTTTTAGCGCCCGCGTGAGTGCATTTTTCTGTCGTGATCCACTCCAACCTCCATTCTCATCTGTTGGAATGACAAACAATGCAGTGGAGGGTGGAACAATAAGGGGCCCTCAGAGAGCCTTATCTCCCCAGCACAGGTGCATCCTAGCTCAGGGATCGCCAGTTGTGAGGGAGGGGTGGGGGGGGGGCTTGAGACAAGGGGAAGGGGATTAAAGTGATTTGTCACTTGATTTGCGGTCTACTTGGGGCTTTTTTTATTAACCTCTTCCCTTCCTGGGGGTTTGGTGCTCGCTGTCTTCGGTCCCGGCAGAGGTCGGGTTGGTTTTCCTCCCCCTTTCTGTTTTTTTGATGGGGCAGCTTAGTCAGATGGAGAACCATGAAGGCCTCAATGCTGACTGACTCATGTTGTGCACCCAACACCCTGTTTAGGTGTCAACCGTGTCATGCTCGGGTGTATTTCCTGTTGGTAATGCTATGACTCAGCTTCTTGTATAGTTAATCTGTCGCTTGGGGCACAGGAAGGGCCATCGGGTGGGACTTGGTCTGAATTTAAAAACTGTATTACCAAATTCCTTCACAATTACATGTTTTTCCTACATATAGTCAGGATGGGGAAATAGATTTAAACAGGGCTCTATGCTAACATGCTCCCAATAGACCTTTATTAACTGCAGACATTTAGACGAGTCATGGTAAGAAAATCACAAGAGGAATTGATAACGATGGCTCAGTTCCATTACGTTTCCAAGTGAGGTAGCACTCACCATACCAAGACCTCCACTAAATGGAATGCGGCCATAATGAATGGTATTAAATACACAAGTCAAAATGTCTGCTATGAAAAAGGTGTTTGCTTCATTCACAGGCTCCACGGATGGTCCCATTCCCTGGGTTTGGAATTTATTTTCAGCCTTGGTGTGTTCATTAGCTTAAGGTCGTAGCTTGGAAACAACATGGATGCTAATAGATATGTTGTATTTAATTACTCAGAGCATTTAAACCTCACTTAAATAGCTCTTAAGATTATGTTATTCTTGGTTATAGCAGTGATTTCAGTTAATACTGAATATCTCTTCTACATAATTGAACTAGACAGGAACTAATGGTTAAAACTGTAACTAATCCCATATTACAAATTATTATGCCAATCAGTATATGCAATAGGTGAATAAAACACATTATACTACATAATATGGAGCAGAAACATGGCAAGTTGTGTACCAACCGAGTTTCCAAGTTGTTCCAGTGGTACTGTTTAATAGACAAAGTAAACATGTGATTTTTCAGAGGTACAGAACTTGGGATACAGAATAATCTAAAAGCATCAAAGAGCAGTATCTGATGAAAAGCAAAACGCACATCATCTACAAAGGGTTCCTATTGGAATTTAGTAATAGTATTTTATATCAAATTGAATGCTCCAATAATATAATAACGTTTTATAATCTGAATTAGATTATATGATAATTATCAGTTTTTTATGTCCCTTAATTTCAAATTGTATTTTCTTGTACAAACATGGTGAATTCCAGAAATCCATAGAAAAAAAGAGCAAATATAAGAGGAGATTGTTTCTTATATCTGTTCCGGAATAAGGCCCAATCATTTCCTTGGGGAACTCCGTTTGGGAAAACTGAAAAATAATCTTGATCACATTTGATTTTCGCCATATTTATGGTGGTGACTACTGAAAACATCCTCCATGTTGATGCAATCATGGAATGCTGAGTGGAGTGGACCCCTCTCCTCACACACCACACACCCTACAGCGAGCCCCACGCCCCCTCTGCTCTTTACATCCGTCGCCCCCCCCCCTAATTCACCTAACCCTCTCACACCAGCCACTCCAGGCGAGGGCCGACCTTCCCTCTGGCTCTGATCTCCTGCTCTGGTGGCTCTGATTGAAAAGACACTGTGGTGAAATGACAGCTAAAGAGCACCCTCCCCTCTTACCCCCCCCCAAAAAAAAAAAAAAAAAAAATAAAAAAAAAACAAAAAAAAAAAAAAAACAAAAAAAAAAAACAAAAAAAAAAAAAGAAAAAAAAAACAAAAACAAAGAAAAAAAAAAAAAAAAAACAAACAAACCAAAAACAAAAAAACGAAAAAACCCAACACCCCCCCCCACCCCCACCACCCCCCCCCAACCCCCCCCCCCCCCCCCCCTCTCTGTCCCCCTCCCTCCCCCAAAGGTATCCCATACATTTAGTTGCTACCCCCCTCTGGGAAGCTTCGGCTCCTTCGACCCTGTTTTTCCCCTGGCTTCTGCTCAGAGCCTAACTCAATCAATCAGCACAACCAGGTCACAGTCCTGGATCCAACCATGCCAACTGTGTGTGTGTGTGTGAGTGCATGTGTGTGTGAGAGAGATATCTAGGGCAGTGGTTCCCGACCATGTGCCACTGAGGCCTAAGACTATGAAGGTTTTCATTCCTATCGAGCTCTACAGCAGCTGATCATGAATGTTGAATCAGCTGCTGTTCAGTTGAAGTGATGATGAGGATGGCATGTTAGCAGACCTTCAGCCTTTTGAAAAACAACTGATTATTGTCTTGTGGGATTATTGACAGATTCAAATCCCTTTTTAAAAAAAAAAAAAAAACCATTTTGGTCTCAACAGAAATATCTCAGACGAATTTGCACAGACATTCTTTACCTCCAAAAGATAAATTGTACTGACTTTGGTGATCCTTTTAAATGTTCTTGTGTCATCTGTCTGGAGAGAAAAATGCCTCAGTTATTTTCAAATGCACATACCATCCTCCATAAATATTCCACGATTTACAAATGGTGTTGTTTATACTTTATTAAACCAACCAATACACAAATTCTTTCAATTACATCATTTTGAGATGTTGTTTTGCAGTCAACACTTTATTTAAACACATTGGTAAACATGGATTATTTGCTAATCTGGGTTTGTTTATCTAGGAGATTATTTTTAATCTCTAAACATCTAGTTTTATAGCTGCAACAATCAATAGTTATAAGGCATCAATATTTTAATAATCAACTCATAATTTCAGGCTATTTTAAATCCAAAATGCCAAAATGTTCTGGTTTAGCTTCCCAATAGTGAGAATTTTCGTGTATGATGAAAAATCAAATGTATTTAGGTGTTAGATTGCTGGTTATATGTCACCCTGGAAAAAGGCTTTTTTCCCCCAATTTGTTTACATTTTATAGAAAAAAATAGATCAAACTAATCTATTCATGGAGAAAATAATTGCTGTTCTTTGTATTTGGGTGCTAATTAGCAAACACTAGTGAGCTAAAGCTTGGGTAGGTAACATTAGACAAGCAAGCAAAAGTAAACTAGATTCTAAAAATGATCAAATCACAAAAACAAGCCCAATGTTGCCAACTCCTCTCCAATGAATGTAGCTAACAGCACTAGCTGCAAGAGTCGCTAAATCTAGCGAGAAAGTTGGAAAAATGGACAGCCCGTCTCTTCAGGCCTAGGAGAGCAACTACCCCAAAGTTATCATAATGAACGATACGACCAACATGGCTTTTGTTGGTACTCACAGCTGCTTCAATGACCACAGCCAGAGATACAGGATTTCTTTTTCAAAAAGTATTCATTTTATTGATCAGTATTTAAAAAGATGTAACAAAAAAAAGAAATACTTTACCCACCCTAGTTTAACATGCTGAGATGGTGAATCCTTGCTTAGCATAATCACATGAGTATTGTCATTTTTAGCACGTTAGCATGCAGACATTAGCATGAAGTACTTTTTCCCGAAGACCGTAGACTCTTGTTGTTTTGACTCTGGATCCTGCTGGTGCCATTATTTCTCTCTGTACCATCTTATCAGTATGCTTCTCTATCATTAAATGTTGATTGAGGATTATTCATATCTCACATTAAATATTAATAACATGAAGGATTAGCAAATCTGTGTCAATGACATTCCTACTCTCAGACTAACACAAGGGAGCGACATAAAGGATTGTTGATCTCATATGGAGCCATTCATTATGTTTTTTTAAATGTATTTTAGCCTCAAGCTGAGCCGGATGGGCATCTCAGTTTTGCCTGGGCAACCGCCTGCTGTTGTTCCCATGCCGTCGTCGTCATCCTAGAAATAACAAGTGTTGTTGCCACAAACATTGCCATAAGAGTACAGAGAGGAGGCGCTCTGAGAGGAGAGCTGCTGGAGCTCTTTCTGCCTCTTTACGCCCGTTAAGCTATCTCTGCTCGCTGCCCCCAGCTCCCCCAACATTAGTCCTCACTCACTAATGCAAACACAAAATAGCTGTTGGTTGCTATGACAGCACTCCTTTTCCCTCCTCCCCCGCAGATTGTGTGTTGACTGGAGACTAAATTAGCCGGTTTGCGGATCCTAATATCTCAGGCATGGGGAGGGGATGCTCCTTCCTAGCTGAGTTCACAACTTCCAAAAAGCTCAAGATTGTCTTTCTTTCTCTCCTCACAGCAAAGCCTGCTCAGACAGCAGGAGCGTGTGGAGGAGCGAGTGCAGGAGATCGAAGAGCAGCTCTGCAAACTCGACTCTGACAAGATTGTGGTGGAGGTATGTTTACACCCTATATCTTGGCGCAGCAACGCACATTTTTCCATGGCAAAGAAATATTTGAGAGGACTGATGTTTGTGTTTGTCTCTACAGGACAGGGTGTGTGAGCTGAAGGAGGAGGTGCGTCTGCAGTACCAGCGGATGCACCAGCTCCTGGAGGAGGATCTCGGTCGGACACTGGAGGCCCTGGACCGGGCTCAGGCTCGGTTCTGCCAGGAGAACGCTGCCCAGGTGTTAGCTCTGGGCGAGCAGCGCCACGAGGCCCAGAAGCTGCTGAGCTCCATCCACACAGCCTTCAGCAAGGCGGAGGAACTGAGCTTCATGAAAAACACCAAGCCTGTTAAAATCCTCACAGACAGGTGAGGGAGACCTTGGATTTTACGGTTTTGCTGCAGGAATGACTCAAACGTGGAAATGATTTAGCATTTTAGCACTTATGGTTCCCTTGTCTCAAGTCAATGGGTTTCGAAAATGTTTTTTGTTTGGATGCCTAAAATAAGGTTTTGAAGTTTTATTCCAAGACTTAAAATGTGCCAGGAAATACCCCACATCCGAACTGCTTCTCTTTTTAGCTTTTACATCGTGTCCTAAAAAATGCGGTTGCTACAAGTTTTTAAAAAGGGCTACAGAAGTTGTTTTTACATCATCACTTGCCATCCTTCAAAGCCTTATGTTATTATTAGAACTCGAACTAACATACTTGTACATTTGTTAATTTGTTTTATGTTCTGATTGTACTTTGTTCTGTTAAATTGTCATAATTGTTACACGTAGAAAGCTAAGCGGTGTAGCAGGCTTACGTTAGCTTTTCTTTTCTTCTTTTTTTCCGCAATAATCCCAAATCTTAGTCCCATTTGCTTTTTGACAAGGAAGCCAGGGTGGTGCTAACTTCTGTGTTAGCCTACAACAAAGTATCCTCCCTTCAGCAGTTTATAATACACAGATGTTTTTCTCCAAGCTGACGTCTTATCTTGATTTGTGCAGGTCTCAGTCATGTGTGGGCAGCAGCCTCCCTCCTTACAAAGTGGGGAATGTAAACTCTAAACTCTTCCTCTCTGAAATCGCTAAAAGAGAGAAGAGCCTGAAGAGAACGCTGGAAGGTAGGATCTCAAACGCATTTAAATCCTGCTCATTGCGGCCATGAAAGTCTTTTGTTTGTATCACCGCTCATCTCCCCTTCTCTTCTTCTCTCAGCTCCCCTCACCCCTCCCTCCACCTTCCTGCAGACTGTTCCTGCGTACCCCAGCGGTCAGAGCTCGGGCTCTGGAGCGGACAAACGGAAACATTCCACCGCCTTCCCAGAGGGAAACGGGAACGTCGGAAAAAGTGCCGCTCCAGGTTTCAAGGACTCCTCTTCCTCCTCTTCTTCCTCATCGTTAGCCAAGCAGCCCTACCTGGGCTCCGGCTCTGCCTCCGGAGAGGGTCAGTCCACCAATCAGCAGCTGCTCGGCCCCTGCGGACCCTCCTCACATCAACGAGGGCGGTGGGACAGGAAGTGCAAGCGGCTCTCTGACCAACCATCATTCAGGCTCTGTGTTTAGCTCCTCCCACTTCCCCCCCGGAGGCAGCAGCTCCTCCCACTCCTCCCAGCAGGCCGTGCTGCCTCAATATGGCGGCCGTAAGATCCTGGTGTGCACGATGGATAACTGCTACTGCTCCGGAGTGCCCTCGGTGTCAGGCCACCGCAGCCATCCCCCGTACCCCCGCTCTGGCTCCTTCCCCTGGGTCAGCGCCCAGGACTACCCCCCTCCCCCCGGCCTGGCCTCCGGGGGCCCGTCCATGCAGGGCCTGGCAGTGAGGGACTGGATAGACGCCTCGCAGACGCACAGACATGCAGATTTTTATGGGCTGTATGGGCAGCCCACTACAAAGCACTATGTCACAAGTTAACAGAGTAGACATACACACACACTTGGATATAAAGACAGGCACCAAATAGCACACCTACCGTCTTATTAACCGGAAAAAAACTAGTCGTACTATACACACACTTAAATATTAAGATTTATATGCACACACACACACATATAGAACATGTACACACATTCGGGGGCAGGGTTGATCTCTTTTTGTGTTTTTATTTTCCTCTTTGATTTCAGTCAGTGTTTCATGTAGTGTATTATACGTAAAAGCCAACACGCTCACTCTGGCACAACTTAGCATTCTACACATAGACGAGAAACAAAGAGAGGCCTAAGAGGAGAATGACACATGCATCTTTTTTTAATTTATAGAACAGAAGACGGATTGATAGAAAATGAACTTTTATTAGGAAAACGCTTCTTCATGGCTTCTCACTGACGCTTAAAGGAAGAGATAAAACCATGCAGTGTTGAGCTTTTCCAGTTTAGCGCCTCATGTTTCTCTAATATAATCACCCCTCTAGTTGTACTGAGGTCAAATGCCTTATGTTATTAGCATCATCTGTTTTTCTGACCAGCTCACTTTGTTGGATATGTCCTTAAAGAGGAAATGCCCTTCATGTCTTCATATTTCCATCGTCATGGCATCTCTTCCTTTCTTTGCTGAGTTCAGGGATGGATCGTACGGCTTGAACACAAAACGCTCTTCCATGGAACACCCACAATGCACTTGTGGATGCCTTGTTATGCCTGGACTACAGATGCAGGGAGCTGCATCTGAATGGCCGGTTGACCCTGGCCCAAAACGTTTTGGGAACTTATTCCTATAGCACTCCCTTCCTGCTATCTGGCTTCCCACAGGACAGAACATGTTCTTCTGACAAAGACTGTTTCCATTTAGTAATTACTATGACTTTGTGTTAATTGGTACATCTGTAGGTGTCATGCTTGTCTAGAGAGACTCTTTGATTTTAGAGAAAAAAAGGCAAGACTGGACAGACTAAACCAATCAAGCATCTGGAGGATCTGATGATGCTGTAATTGTACTTCCTGCAGGGCAAAGATGTCACTTCCTCTCAATAAGCACACGAGCTCTTGGCTTCCTGTTTGCAGCTGAAAGCATGCAAGGAAGAGTTTTTTAAAGCACTCAAAAGAAGAACAATGGGGGGGGGGAAATGTATGCAGTTTTCAAATGAGTGTTCGGACGAAAAAAAGAAGGTGGGAGGACTTTTTTTTCATGAACCTTTTCTAGAAGAATAAGACTGGACGAAATGTAAGCAATTCTCATCATCCTTAAAAGGAGCTGTTACAACAGACAAGATTAAGAAAGAAAAAAACAACAACATAAAAGTATCTTTTTTTGTAAATATTTTGTGAAATGGAAAAATTACAGACGTGATTTGGAGAAGGGTTCCAAATAAACGAACAAATTTAAACCGGTCTCTGCTGTCAACTCTGTATGTGTTTAAAGGGCACAATGATATCATTTAGATATGCTGATAAAGGCTTTGCAAGTCTGACTCTGGAAAGGTTTGATTTAGCTACCTTTTTGAAAGGGGTTGAATTTGACTCTTTAAAGCTATAGGACCCTTATGCAATTAAGACACATTTACATCTGGCGACTAAAGTCAAATATAAATATTACGACGAGACTGATTTAACATTTCTCACATTTGTATGAACATAAAATCTCAGTTTCTTTTTCACTGTAATTTTCCAATTCATACGTCATCTGCTTTCTCTCCATATGACTTTCAAAAGAAACAACCTCCTCCCACTTGTACCCGAAACATCGCACATCCTCTGCTCTTCTTTCCTTACCATGCAAACATTCTAAATTGGGGGATGAAACCCTCTATAATTGTCACACATACATGCACACAGCACACACATACCCCTTTCACACCAAGGCTTTTCCCGTTCTAGCTCCGTGCTAGAGCTTTTCTGGTTCGGAACCGGTTCTTCGGTTCAGCTCCTGCTCTGTTCACACCGCTCAGAGCCTGACTGGTGCTGCGTCATGACGTAACCGTTTGCGTGCCAGCTTCATAAAGCCAAACCGTGCGGAAACCCCTCACATCGACAACAACAATGATCGATTGTATTGAAGCGCTACTCGTTTTGGTTTTGCTCTGTCGACACGAAATGGAAGAAATGGGACGACTTTACTACCAACTTTCAGTCGTTACATGCTACATTCAAAAGTTATTTACAATCATCAACTTCAACGACGAATTAGTAACCATCCGAATCGGATAAAACACAAACACCCACACACACACAAACACATACTCTAGATGTGTCCCCCCCCCCCCTTATGTGCCCATCCCCCCATGTGAATCACACCTGGCACACACAAACACACACACACAAAACAATTTGACACATTTCCCGCTCTTATGTGCCCATCCCCCCACATGGATCACACCTGGCACACACAATACATGTTCAGTGTCTATTCTTTGTATATTTACTGCAGTTTTTCATGTATACCAGTAGTCTGATACAATATGTACAGTTTGAAAGGGTGTTAAATGAAATTTGGTGATGATTAATGGTTTTTGTGTTAATGTAATAGGAGTTAAAACAGGACCGGTCAAATTTGACCGCGAACACCAAGTAAGGGGGGGGGAAACGAAGACAATAGGAGGGTTAAACAAAACTTTGAATATCTCTGCGTCCATACAGTAGGCTACATACAGTGCTCATGATGAGTATGTGTGGGTGGATGACCACAGAGAGAACACAGGATGGAGAGAACAAGTCTAGAGATGAGTCGACAGTCGGTGTTTGTTCCCCTCAGCCTGATTAGATGTTGCATTAAAGCTTTCCCCCTACCAGCACTTTGAGCCTCTCACATTCACCCACCATAGATGATCCACCTGTGTGTATAGGCCAACAGGAAATGGAAATAAAAAAACAGGTTCTCTGAGAGGTTAGTTAATGTGTGTGGACAAAGACTTAATCACGTTTTTGAGTCAGATGGAAGAATGATACCACTTTTGGGTCTGTACGATAAATATGTTTAGATACTTAGCGTAGCGTAGCTTAGCATAAAGATTGGTATTTGTTTGACTTGCTTGTTTGTGCTCCCTGTTTCATGCAGAGTTGAACATTTGCAAAATTACAACCACTGTTGCTTTTTTTTAAATGGTGAAGTGTCCAGTTAAACACACACTACTGCTGCACTTTGTACTGTTTTTACTGAATTAGTAAGTGTAGGTAGCCTACTAAAGAAAATAAAAGACACAAAGCTATTGAAATTCAGTGCCCGGCTAGCTGTTATCAGTATTTGTGCTAAGCTAGGCTAACAGTCTGTATTAGCCTTGCGAGGACACACAGGTTTTGTTAGTTACGGTTTCCAAAGGCATCAATTTCCTTTAAATCTTTAACTTGGAACTAACATGGATGCAAAGACATTATGTGCTTATGAAATAGAAATCTACTCTTTTGTTCTAATTCAATCATTTGATTTAACTGGATGCTCTTTAAACAGTTGCTAAATGGACTTGTTATGCTGTTTCCAAGGTCAAAAATGAACTTCCAAGAGTTGAACATTAATTCAAAAATGTCAGTTTCTGAACGCCTTTGAGTGGTTAATGTACACATAAAAAACAAAGCTTCTTCTTGCTCCACCCTAGTCGTCCTCCCACCTCCTTTTCCGTCTCAATGAGCCTATTTTTGTATTCTCACGTCAGCAAACTTCAGCAGAGACACAGGCAGCCAAGAACTGTGGGGTTGGAGGTGCAGCATAAATGACAGAGCTGCTTTTCTTTCTTTTAAACACACATTCACTATCAAACACTCCCCCTCTCAGTCTCCCGACACACACATTTTTCTCACAATTGCACACACAGCTGCTGCACAGCTGTCTGATCCATGAGGAGAAAGCCAGTGTTGAGTAATCCGGTCGCCCACGTCTTCGATATGTATCTTTACCAAACACACACAAACACACTGTCTGGCTCCTTCAAATTACCCTCAAACACATGAGTGATTCTATAATTTAGGGTGCATTTCACATCAACAAAACAGTACAAAGAAAGTGTTCTTTCTCAATAGAACAATCAGTGGTTCAAGTTAGTATATTCCTCAGTGTAACATATCCACTAGTTGCAAAGCTTAAACATTTTTTTATTTTATTTTATTTTAAGGGAAAGGATGTTTTCACTACTCAGTTTGTCAACTATGTTACGGACAAACTTGATGTCATTACAATCATTTGATTAAGTCCTGCACTTCAAGTAAAATCACATTTGAAAGGCTCTTGAGTCTATTCTACCATATATCCAAAGATTTTTTAAAGTTTAAAAAATAATTGTATTAAAGTTTTGTTTTTTCATGTGATATGTTCAGCACTGTCATTAAGTTTAGGGATATTTTGTATTATAAAACTACCATACAGGTCATTTTGATAGTTTTAAGAGATGTCATGTAAAACTCCAACCTGTGTAGATATACATTATACTATAAAGGATATCAGAAGCACTATTTTAGATATTTTAAATTTGAAAAAATGAGCTGCAACATAGTTGACAATGAAAGTCAAACATTTGACGCAAATAAAATAGTTGACTGGACACATTATTAACCATCAGCACTATGTTCATTTCAAGGCAGAAGTGCAAAATTCCATTGATAATGATGTGTAATGACGTCTACATGTCCTACAAATTGTCAACTAGGTTACCTGTCAACTAAGTTACTACAGTTATTACAGTACTGGGTAACTCAGTTGACAGGTAACTTAGTTGACAATTTCCCTATTTTGACCCATCATTTCAATGGTAGGCCTTGCTTGGATGACCACATGTCATTTTCTTGAACAGGTTAACATCACATTTGAACATATAATTGAATTAAAATCATTAAACAATTGTAAACCATAACAATGTACGTAACATTGTTGTTTGTCAATGAGTATATTAATTAATTGACCATTTTTGAGTTAAAGGGGGGAGTTCTCTTAGTAACATAGTTGACAGAACTTTTGCGGACATTCATATATTAAGATATTTAAATTATTTAAAGGAGGAAATCAATTAAAAAGATGTTATTATTCTTTAGTATTTAGACTTTTGAAATAAATGAATACTTTTTTTAATTTACTTTAATGGTTTTTATTCATTATTTTGAAACCAAGACACCCTCAACTGAAAAACGGACAGAGCAAAAATTGACAATTTAAGAACATCATGACACATTTCAAGCTAAATAAAGCATAGGATGCACATAATGTTTGTGTGATATTATAACATGCTTTCCAATAATAGGCAAAATATGATATTTTTGAAGAAAATACTTAGAATAATTATAATTATCATCAATGGACATGGAATGTACCCTAAATTGTAGAATCACTCACATACTGTGAGAAGGTTTATACACTGGTAAAACAACCACAGGAGTTTTCCTCCTCTCATATAGAGGTTTTAAACATCAAAAAAACTATTAAAAAGTCAAATTGACTCTTTGTTTTTAGTAAACACAACTTTCAAAGCTTCAATCTATTATAAAAAAGTGTTTGACATTTTGAGAAATTAGCTTGTTTATAGAGGTGGGACCAAGCCATAGTTTTGCAAGTCACAAGGAAGTCTTGTATCTTTGCATTCAAGTTCCAGTCAAAACTCGTGAATCCTAAACAACTCATTATACCTCCCCATCTCTACGTTTTTACCCACTATGTTTACAGCTTTGTTGTTGTTGTTGGGCGAACAATTTAAACTAACGCTAGCTCTCTCGTGAAAAAACAAAGTTGATCTTGGGATTTCATTGTGGACATGCTGGGAATAAGTAGTGTGAACGTCAATTGATCCAGGAAGCTAATATGAAATAACCCTTTTTAATCAGTGTATCCACAGTAAAAATACAAGCACAATCACAAGACATCCACCAAAACAGTTTTCCAGAATGTCAAACCATTCATTTAAATGCCTTTCTGTATCTTCCAGCATTCATACTTTCCCACAATGCTTTGTGTGAATTCAATGTAACATAAAGAGGCAGAAATGATGAACAATCCCGTCAGCTACATTCTGTCTTTGTGAGAGGAAGACTGGACAATGAGGATCTTTGTGAAGACGAAAAAGAAGAGGCTGTTTGCAGGTCTCTGGGTCTCTGAGACAATGTTACACCAAATAAATCACACAGCATACTGTTCCAACAGCAGGAACACACTGACCGAGAAGCAGTACCTCCACATGTCTTTTAGGCAATTATTTATGACCTAAATGTGACTGGGAGTTTATTAAATCCTGTAGGTCTCAACTTCTTTAAACACTCACTGTCTCGCGGATTTCTACAATTATATTTGTTCCCCTTGGAGACGGTTTAGGTTCTTGCATTGCAGGTAGTTTTCAGTTTGGCTGGAGGAGATAAAACAAGCTTCTGGTGCTCAGCCCCAGGCCATGAGGCACTTACACATCCAGGTGAAAACAGCACCACCCGCCTGACACTCCTGTCTGTTAGAATAAACCACATTTTATATTATATTTAGTATACTGCAGCCTGTTTCCATTTACCGAAGGGTGTAGGAACAATCCCTGACTCACACAAGGTACAGGATATCTTTTAATACTGTGAGTGGTAGATTGTAAGAAAGTGAATTTACTTCAGAATCAGAATCAGAATCCCTTTATTAGTCCCACAGAGGGGAAATTGACATTTCTACAGCAGAAAAGAGCCAAAGACAGCTTAATGTTACCTAAGCATGCATACAAAAAAAGTAATAAAGGTAAAAAAAAGAAATTATAATAAAAAAGTTACACATTTTACAAAAATACACACCCTGTAACAGTTCTGAGGATTTAGCAGCCAGGTATATATTGCATAGTTTTTAACGGCATATATATATATATATTTCACATATTGCACATAGTTGGTATTTAACAACAAGAGGTGTTATTGTTGTGTGGGGGGGTCTACTGGGGGCTGTGGTGGTTATATAGTCTGAAACTAAAGCAGAATTTGGGTGGCAAACAGTTGTTTTTACCCCCCATGAAATCATTTTACTTCTTAGAATAATATGTATACGCAACTATAGGTGAATATACCTGTAATTTATATTGGAAAATGTGTTAAAAATGGCTTAAAATTTCCTTTTTACCTTCTGTGAGGCAGAAGTTTATTATGTTTATCAGCTCTTGACCTATTCTGAAAGCTTTATTAGATTCTGTAATAATCCTGGTTGGGTTTTTTCCCCCAAACTATATCTGTCTTTAAGTTGTTCATATGTGGGAAAATGTTACCCATCCTTTCAATTTTCCCTGATTTGACAATGTCTTTGGCCTTTTATTTTTAATATAACATTTAAAAATGAATTCTGTCTTTCCTTTCAAGTAATACTTGATCAATATATACATAAGTAATATTGGTCATCATTTAGAATATAATGCTATATTGTTGACATGATTTAAATAATGGATTCAATGCTCTCTGTAATCCAATGCCCTGTATACCGTGTGTGCTCGCCTGCTGTCTCCCACAGAGGCTCCATGCTGTCATGAACAGCTGACTCCACCTGCTGCTGCTGTGTGACCTCTCCAGCCTCTGAGTCACTAAAGTATGTTGGTGCGAGAAGTCATTCAATAAATGAAAACTCAACGACTCAATATTTCTTATCCTTTTTATTCACATACAGTACCTTCAATTCTGGACAGGTTACATTCAAGAATATCAAAAGGAAATGCCAAAAAGAGTGAATTCCCTCACAAACCCTATAAGCACAAAGAAATGAATTGGGACGTACAGTACTTATACCTCTGTTAAAAATCTGCACATATTAGATATGCAAATATTATAGACTACAACATATACTCTATAACATGTGTATAACGTAACACGTGACCACAGGGCCAAGATATTTACACTTGATCCAAAAGCGTTGTTCCTCTAAACTCAACTTTTATTATATTTTTTACATATTAACATGTAGAATATAATTCTTTATAGGGGAGAGCTGGAATCGTTTCTCCGACATCCTTTAAAACCACACACAGAGTTGTTCTTTGCAAGCACTCTACTTCACCATAAATAAAACAATTACAAAAATATACCTCACTTCAAACAGAGCCATAGCAGGAAAAAAAGCGTACAGCCATCTTGGAATGATAAAAAAGAAAAGAAAAAAAGATTTCAACCTGTAAGAACAAGATGGAGATGGAGAGAGGAGGAGGAGGAGGAGGAGGAGGAGGAGGAGGAGGAGGAGGAGGAGGAGGAGGAGGAGGAGGAGGAGGAGGAGGAGGAGGGAGGAGGAGGAAAAGGAAAAGGAAAAGGGGACTGGTTTCCAGGACAGTGTGTGAAAGAGGTTAAAGGACAGGCTGGAATTCCAATGAAAGACGGCAGTTTAATGGGAATGTTTTGAGGTTGGGACAGGCGGCGGATGGTGACGCAGGTAGTCTGGGTGGAGGAGGTCAATTTCCTGGCATGTGTTCCCTTTAAAGTCAAAACGCCCTCCTCTTTGTAGATGTTCTGAGATAAGTAAACATCAGCAATTTGGGAATGCAGGGGGATTTAAATCTCCAGGTCCATGTTGAATTAGTAGTGTGTTTACATTCACAGGTATATCCATCGTACTAAGGCTCAGGAGGGTGCAGTGTGTGTCAGTGTATGTGTAGGTGCTGTAGACTAGAAGCAAAGCTATTTTTTCTTGGAGTTGACGCTCTTGCACACCCAATTCATGCCCTCCTGAAAGTGAATTTAAGAAACTATTGTTAAAAAAGGCACATAAAAATGATGCAAACAAGTAACACTTAGCTCTAGAGCTGTTTCGCTTTTAGTTCATACTTCCACGGTGGATCCCACAAGTTTACAAAATCAGTAATACTAACAAATCATAAATAAATAAAAAAGAGAGAAGAGGAATAAGAAAATAAGCTTTCTATTGATGATTAGGGAATGACACTTTAAATGTCTGTCATCTCTTTTTACGACATAATCACCATAAAAAGATTTCAAAAACGTCCTTGTACAAAATCCCCGATTTCAATAAAATAATTAATAGGATTAAATGAATACAACTTTTTTTATGACTGTAGCTTGTCAGTGTGTGCTTCCTTGACCTTTGAATTTACAACGCTCTGGAGGTAATCTTGTTATCTAATTCTGCAAATGTTTTAATAGTATTGGTGTAGCCTTATCTCTATCTGAAACGGTGCAGAAACAGTAGCTTTAAAACACAAAGAACAGATAACAAAACGATCAACCTTTTTTTTGTTTTAAAGCTTTAAATATTCGGTACAGGAATATGCAGCTTGTCTCCTCACCTGAATGCCCTCCCCAGTGAGGGCCGAGCAGGACTGGATCTGCCACATGCGATCCCGGATGGTGTGCAGATTCAGTCCCTCAGCGATCTCCGAGGCCGGGGCGGCTGTCAGCAGGTCCTGCTTGTTTGCAAAGATCAGCACTGGAACGCCACTCAACTTCTCTTCATCCAACAACTCAGCCAGCTCCTGCAACACACACAAACATCTGTCAGGTACACATAAACACAAACACATATTATGTCCCAGAAAAAAGGGAATCCAGGGGTTCAGGATAATGAAACAATGAGTTGCAGTTTTGAGACTTTGGTAACAAATATGCAATCTGTCAGAACACATACCTGACCTGTCTCCTCAAATCTCTTTCTGTCAGCGCTGTCAATTACATAAATCTGAAACAAAATGGAAGTTTCCCTTGTTAGCACATACAGCAGGTCCTCAGTGCGATAAACTGTGACACGGACGAACGGATCAAAATCACGATGTAAACAAAGCTAATTTAATGTGTTTGGTGCATCATGCTTCACTCACCAGCACATCTGTATTTTCAAAGTAGTTTCTCCAGTACGGCCTGATCTTCCTCTGGCCCCCAATGTCCCAAACATTCAGTTTAAAACCCTGAGACTGGACGCTTTTAATGTTAAATCCCTGGAGACAAGACGAAACATAAAGCTTAAGGTTAGACAGATATAAAACATAATCCATCCATGTTGTTTTAGGTCTGTTTGCTCCAATAACACGTGGTGCACGCATCCCTCCGATTCTATGAATTTTATGTCTATGTCTATACCTGTGTGGGGGTGATGTGGCTGATGTCCTCAGATGCCAGCTGTTTGAGCAGGGTGGTCTTCCCGCCGTTGTCCAGACCCAGAAGAAGTATCCTCACCTCCTGGTCTGGTGTGCTCTTTAGCTTACGCAGGATAGACAGCAATCCCTGCGATGAAGCAATGAAAAGGCTCTTTAGAAAATGGATCATACAATTTGAACAGAAATTTGTACCCATCGGGACAAACAAATATATGGAAAATTAAAAGAAATAGGGTCTATTCTAATAACAATTTGCTTTTGACTTGTTTCTGAAAACATTAACACTTATGGCACTTTTTTACATACATGCTTTTAAAAACATTTGTAAATGCAGTGTTCTGTAGAATTCAGTCATCTTCAAATATGAATCAATATGTAATATCATTTTTGGTGAAATAGGCAAAATATCATGTTTTTGATTTTAACAAACCAAACATGTCACAACAGGAAATATTGCTGTAAAAACTCATATCTATTGCGATCAATGTTGAACTTTTGTCTAATGAGTTATTCTCTTGAATGTGTATATTGTAAAATGAAGTGACACTGTTTTCCTTCTGGAGGTACATTTAAGTTAATGCGTAGTTTTCATTTGTTAAACCTCGAAGATCCGCATCTCTTCCCTCCATCCGCCGGATTCCCCATTTACAGGCCGTGCAAGTGCATTTATATCCCCACTGTGGCTTTAGAAGATGAGCAAACATCTAACGGTACCCACACATAACGACAACTACTGGTCCTTGGTGAGAGTAGCTATACACATCGACTTGATTGTTTTTGGGGCTTTGCGTGCTTGTTGTTATAGTGAAAGGCTGGTTAACGGCACGCAAACATGAGCTAAGCGTAGCTAACGTGCTAAGCTAATCTCCCCTGATGACTGAACGAAGCAACAAGGCAGCTTTGCAGTTTAATGTTTTTCTCGGCAGATTGCAGACAGCAGCAGCTCTTACATCTCCAATGTATTACATTAAGCGGTACTAAATTGAAATATGTTAAATAGTTTAGCTTGATGTATAGAGTTAATAGCTAATTACAACGATAAATTGAACTCACCATCTTGTTGCCTTCTCTCTTGGAGACGCCGCCGAGGGTTACTAGGGGGAATGACGTCAGACGCAAAGTCACGCAGAACTCGGGCACAACCCCAAATATGGATGCGGAGTTTTGGTTAGCTGCCTGCTAACAGCTGAATGTTTGAAATGTACAGCAATAATGAATGCACATGTTTAATTTTGTGGACGGCCCTTTTCAACAGACGTTCAAATAAGTTGCTGTGTAAAATGTGCCTCATTTCTATCTGAGACGATCTAACTATACTGCCAAAGAGCTAATAAGCTACCTACCTAGCTAGTTAGCATAACAGTTTGGTTGGCCGTAAACTCGGGAGCTGCCCCAGCCCGTGATTGGACGAGGGCATGCCACGTGTCTTTACTATGCCACACGAGCACATTTGATTACCTGACAGGTTGCTCTGTAGGGCTGTTGAGGGTGAGGAGAAATCTCCCAAAGGTAGGTTTTCCATTTTCTTGTCTAAGAATACAGCCTGTGTGTCGATGCACGTATCTTGTTAGTTTATCTTTATCTGCCTAGCTACAGAAGTCAGCTGGTAACTCGAGTTATGAGTTGCATTTGAGCTCGGACTGACATGTTTTTAATCTTTCATTTGAACTGCTTTGGTTGGTAGACTTCACACTACACTAAGCAATCTGTATATGTCTTATTTGAGTGGAACTCAGTGATTAATTACACATATGTTATGCACACACAAGCCTGAAACAGCTGTCATCGTTGTGTAAGTTGTGTTAGTTATCCAGATGCGTTCAGGTACTCCTTGCTATGCTACGGCCTGCACATGAGGTTTCTCAAGATTGTCATGACATGCAGCATGCACCGAGCCCTGTTTATGTCTTAACCATACCTTCCCCTACATGCAGGTCTGCAACTTAGCTAATTCTCATGATCGATTCATCTTCCTGTGTTTTGCTAAATGAGTTGTTTGCTTCAGAACATGTCACAAATGAATACAAAACTGTTCAATGCAACTTCCAAAAGACACATATTCAGTTATACCTAGGGCTGGTTTTCGGCTCTGGGACATTTCACATGGGTAAACAATTCATCACAACTTAGTGAACGGATAAAAATAACATGTAGTTATAGGCCTCATATGTTCTTTATGTTCCTGGTATGTATGGACACGTTGACATGTGTCTCGTGTTCAGTGTTGCCTGCAAGGTTCTGCATGCCTTTATCCTACATACAACAAACGGCTGCCGAAACAATCCAGTTTGAGCCAGACTGAGCCTCCAAAGAACACTGATAAACCACACAAGGCTGGTTTCCATTGTGAGATTTCACTGAATACCTACGTTTAATAATTTCTTATCTAATGGTGAAGATGCACAGTGGGATCGTTCGAGCTGAAGTCAGCAGGTTCTGGTTCCTCTAGTTGTGTATTAAAAGTGTAATGCTGCCACTGCAAAAAACAAATACGAGAACCTGTGGAAACATTTACCAGGAGGTGGTCAATCATTTCTAGTGGAAGTTTGGCCCTTGAGAATTGTTTAGGGAGAAACAAGAGTTGGTGTTTTTCGGGGTTGGGTTTAAACCTTTATATATACAGTCAGTCTATGGTTTAAACCCAAGGGCACCTGCTGGCAATCCAACATCTTAGGAGGGGAGAGCAAGAAAAATACACTTCAGTATGATACATACAGTATGTCAAACACCATTTTCACAAGGTTGCTGAGGTTTAAGGCCAACATGGGTACGCCTAGGCCTGCATGTAATAAATATCCTTACAGTTTGATCAATTGTTCTGTTTCTCAACGAATAGTTAAGTCTACAAATGTAAAAAAAGAAGAAGAAAACAGTGGGTTTTGAGTCCCCTTTTCTTTAAAAGTGATTTAGTTTTTTGATACTTCATTGACTATCATAAGATGAAGAAAAGCGGCAAGTCCCCTCATTTGAAAGACTGTAACCAGCAAATGTTTGGCTTCTTTTGATCAACTTATTGATTATTGACCTGCAGTCAGAGCCGGCCCGACCCATTAAGCGACATAAACGGCCGCTTAGGGCCCCGCAGCTACTAAGGGCCCCCTAGCTAAAAAAAGATTTTTTTTTTTTTTTATCTCAGTACACCGTCGCTGTGATAAGTATGTTTAATTAATTGTGTTAATATGCCTAGATTGCCTACTCTCAAAGTCATGTATTATATTATTGAGTCAATCATATAATACATTAACCGTGCTTTACCTGAACCTCATCATGACACTAGAGAGGACGGCAGGATTGTAATTTCCCTTGTTCAGTGAATGCAACACAGGCAAGGCACCAGACCAACCAGAGAGTTGAATGGAAATAAACATCTGTCTTATTTGGCTGACAGGTACCTATCCTGTGAGCTGTGACAATGTTTAAAATAAACTGTCAGTCTCAGACTCAGAGTTTTTGAAGATGGACATAAGAACATTTGTTCTTAAAAAAGATGACAATTATCAAGTGGTGGTTCACACAACAACCCCAGAGCCACCACTTGAGCCAGGAGAAATTACAGCTACGTTGACGTTACTTTGAATCGCGGGGGTAAGCTAAACCGTTAGCAAGTAGCTATAGCTAGCCAGATATATTAAATAAACACTTTGTCATACAATCTAAATGTAATGTTTTTTAGTGTTACCTGGTGATTTCAAAGAAAGCTCTCTGGAAAATGTTGACTTACTGTTCGACATGAAGCTAGAAGCTACCTTACAGTCAGGGCTCTCGACTAACTTTTTTCACCATCCTCCCGGAACCGTCCCGAAATACAATCTAAGCCGTCCCGAAATTAATGTGGATCATCCCGAATTTAAAATATTTGTTTTTCTACATTATCATTAGTTAAAATCATTCAAAGTGACCTTTAACATAAATAAAACATCATACAAATCATTAGATGATAATTCATCAACCTTTTTATTTGAGTAAATCAGTCAAACACATAAACAAAGGCCAAATATATTTAAAAAAAACACACAAGCGAGAAAGTTACTCTAATATTGAATCCAATCAAGTCCCATCCGATTAACAAAAAAATCCAACACTCTGTCCTGAAGACAGAAGACAGAACCCAGAGTAACCACTAACCAGGATGACAGTAACACAGTCAGGAGACCTTTACAAACTGCCCCGCCCCCTCGCACACAGACGGGAGAGAGAGCTCTCTTGTCTGGATTGGAAAGATCGAAAATACATCATAGACGCATTTTGTAGTCTTATTGCATATTAGAAACGGAGTTGGCGAAACTAAAACTGCAATATAATGTTCATGTAGCAATAATACATATGACATATGTTTTAAATGTCTCCAGTACCGATAAAAAGACCACTGTTGGTACCACTGTCTTTAATAATTCCGACCCGCGGCCCGTTTAATGCCGGGGCTCGGTACCCATCCCTACATGGGGAGAGGCGAAGCATATTGCTAAGGACTAAATACGATGGAGAGTTCTCATCTCAGCTGCAATGACATGTCTGGAAACCCCCTCTAGGGTGCCCCATGCATAGCGCGCCGTCAAAAGCTGCTTCATAAGTTACGTTTTGTTTCTCCGCACCGCTCCGGGGTAAAAAAAATGGTAGTTACATCACAGCTGTGCGGCTGGCTGACAGCTGTAGCTACGTACTGTGTGTGTGTGTGTGTGTGTGTGTTTCGCGGGTTGCTAAATGCTTTGTGTGTGTTTATGTTGACAAGGAGGTTTAATAACTGTGTACTACACAAAACGTGCAGTCAGTTTCATTTTCATCGCCGTTCGTAGTAGAGTTAGCAGGGTATTTTTATTTTAACTCTCGTCCCAAATTCGTCCCAAAATTAATTTGTATCCTCCCCGACCCGATTTTTTTCGGCCCCGGGACGACGGGAGGTCCTTAAGCTCGAGCCCTGCTTACAGTACACAGTTGATCCTGAGTCCTGTCAGTTAAAGTGTTTCATAGTTAGCTTAGCTAAGCATCAACCTAGCACTGAAATATATGGATGTTATGTGACAGTATTTCTGAGAAAAAGTCAGCTGAAATGCTGGATGACAGCATGATTGAACGTATTTGCAGCAGTAAATGTGGCTGTTTGGCCACTGACGTTGCCATAACAACACCTGAATGTAAGTGAACATTATGAGATGGACAGCCAGAGAGAATAAATGAAAAACAGTTATGAAATACTATATGACAAAACAAGAATACAGTTTAAAAGGGGAGTGATTTGTAAAATATCCATAAAGAAAAATCTGTTTACAGTTCTGTTTCATATGGGTGTTGAGAGATGTATCCATAGATCTCTTAATTTTGCTCTTAATTTTGCTCTCAAAGTGCACCAGATTGATGCTTTTAACTTCAATATTTAAAAAAAAATCTTCCCGGGGGAGCATGCCCCCGGACCCCCCTAGAGGAGGTGAGGACCCCCCTAGAGGATGTTAGGTCCCCGGTGTTTACATGCTTATTTATACAATATGTGTGCTTATGCTAACATCATAAGACAAAAGTTGGTTCCGTGTTGTGTGAAGTGAGAACCTGCTAGAGTGAGGGGGGCCCCCCAAGCCAAAGCTCGCTTAGGGCCCCCAAAAGTCTAGGGCCGGCCCTGCCTGCAGTCTTGGTAAACCTTGTTGGAATGTGAGTTTAAAGGTACTAGCTGTCCTCACTGAGCAAATAAATCTGTTAATGTTACATCAGCTCAAACCAGGTCTGTCTGGTTTGAAAACAAACATGAACCCGTTTTAAACGGACAAGAGAAATGCATGTAATTCAGTCATTACCTATGTATCAGTGTATGTTCTACTATAGTTACCGCCAGTACTATAGATCAGCATATTATCATGACTGTCCTCTTTTCTGCAGGTTTCGACTGCTGAGTAACGTCCTGCAGAGTAAACAAGGGTCTTCCAAAGATTTGAACTTTTTCATGCATTAAATCAGGCCTGCTTTTTAACCCCCACAATGGCTTCGAGCTCATTCGATATTGACGCACCGCGATGGGACCAGTCCACGTTTATGGGTCGATTGAATCACTTCTTCAACATCACAGACTGGAGAACGGTGACCTTACCCGATTCACGCCTGGATGAGGCCAAAGCTTTAGTGGATAGCTGCAGGTA